GGCTACTCTTGGTCAACTCTTGGCCGCCTCCTGACCATCTGAGCTTCCTTGGCTGTGAAAGGTATGCCAAGCTCCGGTCTCCACACCCAGCCAGACCGTCCACATCACGGTTGTGAAATACCATTGAAATACACAGTTCTTGTTTCGGGCCACAGGAAACTAAACCTAGTTTCAGTATCTGTGTGTGCAAAGTTAAGGATCATGTTTTCATGTGCCAGTCCCCAGTAGAAGATAACTCTCTCTGGAGGTTACACCCCTTCAGAAATTAGATGGGAGGGTAGAAGGAAGTCTCTGCATCTTGAGTCTCATGATTATTCTTCCCCCTAAAGATTTTTTTTTTTTTTCTTTTGGTGATGCTGATCTCAACTTTTTTTTTACCTTTGTTTTCACATAACTTTATTGAGATGTACCCAAGTTCTTCCTGTTTGTTTCACTACCAGAAAATTTCTGTATGAAAAAGTCAGTGATGTGGAACTAAAAAGGACTCATCTAGATCTCATAATAATAAAAGTGCTTGGAACAAATGACTTTGGGATTCATATTGTGGCTTATGCCTCTTTGGAGTGCTTCATTTTATCATCAGAGAGGCATCATTTGTTTAAACTGTGCTCCTGTATGACATCTGGTTTGAAAAGCATAATAACCTATATAATCAGCTTTTGAAATGCTGGATTATCTGTGGGTTTATTGACTCTTCTTTACAAAATCTGTTATTTCTAATTAATTCTCCATATCACTAATACTAAAGCCAACTTGCAGACACACAAACGAACTTGATGGCAATGGCTAGTCAAGGTCAGCATTTAACTGCCAGCATTTGCACTGTTGAGGATAATAAATCAGGCTTGTTCCTAGTCCCATACCCTACAATATGACAAATGTTAGTGGAGCCATCTAAGCAACCATTTTACAAATCATTTAGAAGATACATTTGGCATTGTTAAACTGCTCCATGCTGCCCTTGGCTGTAGAAGAATTGTGATAAAGTATGTATGCTTCGTTAGATTGCCTGTATTTGAATCCTGCGGAGTGTGTGTGTGTATCAGGAGCGTGTGTTTGCTTTTTTAATTTTGTATTGGAAATGAGAAAAACACGAAAGTAATAACACCTAATCAGCCTATGGAAACCACTGGCTTCTGAAAACAGTGGTGAGCACTGTGGCACAATTACGTATTTCTTGTGTTTTCAGTTAGAAGCTTATGTTGAGAGTAGGTTGCTGCCCACAAGAAGTCTTCTGGGTCAACAATAGTCCATTGTGTGAAGGTTTTCAGAAAACCTGTTAAATATCAGAGAAATAGTTTTTAGGCTCTAATTTGGATTTGGACAAATATGTAAACGCAGTGTTTTCGGTTGATCTGAAGTCAATCCTGATGTGACCCACAGGTGTCATTAGATCTGTTGTGTCATTCAAATAGATACTTGGCAGTAGGCTGTCCAGGGAGTCAGTTGTAAAGTTCCTGATCTTTTTTTTTATGGTATCTGTTCTTACTTGGACCAACTCTTGTATTTTTAAAAGAGGAATGATGTATTACCTACATAATTTAGATTATTGTAACTGAACTTCTTATCTGGAGCAAAAAATCAAACTGAGCTCCAAAACAAAACCTAAAATTAAATTAATTGGATGTATCTGTTATAGTCAACTGAATTTAACACTTAGTTTTTACCTATTGTGTTACCTGCCTGCAACTTTTCCCACATACCACTTTACATTAGGATTACTTGATAGAAATTTATGGGATGTTTCTGTGGAAAATTAATGAAAAGGGAAATATTTAACTTGGAGTGTGCATGAAAAAAAGCACTTTGAAAGTGGGTTGGGTTTTTTTAGTGTAGTGTTTCTCCCTCTACATATTATAGGATATAGATAATTGGTTTAATAAAAGCAATGAATAGAGTGTTTTTCTATGTCATAAACACTGGGTATCTGGCCTTGAAACGAGGGCAGAGAGGTAGTTTGCTCACCAGTCAGATCTTGATGCAAATCGTGTTCACCATGGTTAAGTCACCGAGAAAGGAATGACAGCTTGAATGTAAGACAGATTCAGGAGAAAAAGGTGTAACCATCCATGCATGCCTTGTTGAGAAAGGAAACCTCCTATGGAGAGAATGACTTAATCTGAGGTTTAGCAATATGATCTGAGCATATTTTTTGGATTCAGCCTTTTATTATTTGCAGGTATGAAGAAACACCGCTTTACCTTTTTATGAGGCATTATAACAGCATTTTGAATTGACAGATACTTTGGTGTAGCATGGGTAAAAGAATATAAGAGATTTTTAGAGCGAGCCAAGTATTGATCATTAGAAGACAATTGTAGCTAGAACTGGCAGAAATTGGAGGAGGTTTAAGTACCAACAGCTGATACCAATGTTTCTTTGCAATAGAGTATTTGAGAATTGCTCCATGTTGGATACTCCTGTTAGGAATGAAAATACCTCACTTGTGTTTTAACCTATTCCACTTTTTAAAGGATGCATGGGAGTTAATTGAATTTTGTTTCAGAATGTTAAGTTTCCACCTGTGATGCTGTGGCTGAGTAGTTGAATACATGCTTTGTATTCAAGCTGTACCTTCAACTTTCAGCTATATTCAAGGCCTTCATTTAGAGAAGCACTGTATAAAATATGCTATAGGTTATGTCTTCGGTAATTGTGGATTGACTGGTGTAGCAACGTGTCTTTACTGGCTTTTTTTACCCAATAATTCTGTGTAAGTGAAATTTTGTAGGGTATCTTGTATCTAAAAAAAACACTCTCCCACCTTCCTCAAATCCTACATGACAATTTATTTTTAACTTAAAATAATACATACTTATATACATACTATATACAGAGCGAGAGTTTATGTGTCTGTACGTGTGTTATGTATTTATAAATTAAAAAAAACATGCATGCTGCTGTGATACCCTGGAAACCTCTATTTCTCTACAGGAAGAGCTCTATAAGAGTATTACCTTTTTCAGATATTAAAAATACACTGACCTTTTTCAGGGTTGAAAGACAAGGAAAATTTTTGCTAGTCTTACGAAGAAATGGGAACATGCAGCATCAAAATTACAAATGCCCCAAGACATTTTGGTGGTATGTCAGCATTCAAATGTTTTCCTCCTCAGACAAAATACCACCGTTTGAAATGAAAAAGCAAAAAACTAGAATTTTCAAGGAGTTAATTCTCCAGGTTATTGACCTTTTCTCTAGAAAGCAGACACCTTTTGAGGAATTTTGTTTAATGAGAGGCTTAATGTTTTTCACACGGTATAAAATGTGCTAGAGGGAGAAATGCCCATTCGTTTCCTAAACAAATCCAAATGCAGAGCTGAATACCAGCACAGTCTTGGCATATCCTGGAGAAGGTACCTTTCCTTAGGGGTAGATTAACGCGGTGTGCATAGCTATGACTGTGACTTGAGCACATAGAACTTATTTTAACATAGATTTGGTGCGGCTTTCCTTTGTCTCTAACAGAGGAGCTAATGACATCACCTAGCAATTATCAAGTAGTGTGATGTTATGTAATGAAAGTATAAATAGCACGAGGACTAAAACTAGTGAATCTAACAGACTATCGAGCAGACAGGAGCAGGAATACTATTTAGAATATTTTGATTAGCATCTGAATGCTGTCGTTTAAAAAGACATTTAGACTTGATGTTACACTAGAGCTACAGGCTGGGAGAGTTGCAGTCCTTGATCTGGAGTGACATTTGTGCTGTGTCCCTGGACAAATCACTTGGCCTCTCTATACCTCTTTAAAGGAAGACAGAAAATTGAAAAAAGGCAAAGGGTGCATACTTGAGTTTTCTTAAACAAGCTGGTAATCTTTTGTTTGAATTAAGACTGCCCCTGAACTTCGTTTCCCAGTGACTGACTGACAAATAGCCTGTGACCTGCAATTTGAACCATAAGATTATTTCACCACCGGTGTAAAGTCTCTTAGGATTGTTTTTGTAGTTGTTTGGCAGCATTCAGAGAGATAATGTGTGAAGAAATGCAAGAGGTCACGTTTACCTGAAGAAGAGAGCCTGTGTGGAAAGAGACTCTCCCCAGCCCTCTGGAGGCGTGGGAGGAAGCCAAAGCTTTCATCTCCTTCAGTATCTGGCACGTTTCTCTGAGCGTGCCGATTCCATTAGGGTGGCATTTCCAGTTCCTGGGGGAAGAATGGAGGGAGGAGACTCTCACTGCATCATGAAATGTGGCTTGGTTTTGAAGACTGCTGCCTTTTAGAGTTGCCAGTGGAAAATACTTCCTAAAGATACCTTCAGAGAGTCATGGTTTAAAAAAAGCCGGCAACAGAAATGTCCCGTCTTTTTAGAGGGCAGTGGATGGTTGAAGCTAGGTTTGAAAGATGAATCAGTCTGCAAAAGTGCAGGGATGGTTTCTGAACCTCCAGTGCTGCTTTTCTTGCACCTACAGTCATACGGAAGGGTCTTCTGCACTTGCAGAATGTGAAAAGGCTTCAAAACTACTTTGAAAGTAAGCTGTTAAATTACAGAAATATTAGATGTAAGCTCAAGGACCACTGCAGTGGTAAGCAGGAGTGAGGACCGGAGAGTGCATACCACTTTGCTGTTCTACTTCATAAAATGGTCTTAGCGGTTTTATTACAAGTACTCCTTAGCTGTAAAGGCTTCAAACAAACAAACAAACAGAAAGAAAATTTATAGCTATCAGGTTGCTGCCAGAGTGGTTTGTTTGTTTGTTGTTTATTTTAAGTTTTAATCATCTGCTACCAATAAATTCCCCTGCCCTTGTGGTAACTTCTCACATTAACATTGATATATTATGGGTGGTTTAAAACAGACAATAAAAATATTGCACTTACTAATTAAAGCAATTCATGTATTCAACCAGACACTGCCAGGAAGAGTTGTGGTTTCCTAATTGTTAGGTGCCTTGAGCGATATACCTGTTATAAATTCTTAATTGAACTTGCATTATGGCCAGTGTGATTTGAAATATTCATAGCTGTTTTGGTTTTGGGTTTTTTTTGACTCCAGCTCTTCATTGAGAAGTGTATCAACTGGATCTTCAAGACCTTCCAAAGTGTGTTTGGTGTGTGGAGATGAAGCATCTGGATGTCATTATGGGGTGGTTACATGTGGCAGCTGTAAAGTTTTCTTCAAGAGAGCAGTAGAAGGTAAGACAGCACAAAAAAAAAACCATCAACAAAAAAAAAAAGGCAAAATAACTGCCGATTTGGTGGTTGTTTTTTTTTAATAGAAGTGTGTGTACACATGCATATATGTGTTCTTGTGTGTTTTCTGCCAATCATAAAATTCTGTGTTGTTAATCTGAAAAAAAAAAAGTTGAATGAAGTCCAATTACATGTGGTGTAATTTATGTAGAATATGCCAGGGTGTCTTGCAGTGTACGCCTTCTAAAGGATGTGTTGTTTTACTTCACACCGTTGCTGAATCAGGCTGCTTCTCCACCCATCCAAGTGTATTTTTGTAATTTTTAATGGACACAGATACAATTGATGTAGACATACTTCTGCTTCTCCTGTACTGGAGGATAAGTAGGGTTGTCTCATCATGCTTTGGCAGCCCTATGTGACAGTACAATTCACTCAGGTGAGTTACTTCCCTGTGGGTACCTCCCAGGGCTTTTGACTCAGTAGTGCATCTGCTTCATCTTTCCGCAAAAGAGAATTGGCTTTACAGTACTGTGGGAGATTGGCAAGGAAGCAGGAATTGATCCTGGTGCTTTTCTTAGAGATTGTTTTCTTCATTAAGGACTCGAATTTTTATGAAGACTGTATTTTGATAGCTTTATCATCACAGGAATGTTTTGCTGACATCTCCCTATTTTATGTTAATTATGGTATCCCTGGGCATCCCAATAGGAAGAAGTTAGGATCACTCAGAGTGCTGCAGGTCTTCTGGTAGGTGTTGCCTCTCTGTGACTTGGCTTGTTAGGGTAAAAGAAAATGTTTGACTCTTACAGACTTTGCAAGCAACTTCTTGAAGTGATAAAAAACAAGTTTTTAATACCCAGAAAAGAATAAAAGTTCACAGCATGCAAAAAACATAAATACAGGTTTTTCAAAGCCATTGTTGTTGAGTAGATGTTCTTACAACCACTGATGAAGCAGGAAATATCTACTTACTGGTTTATTTTCATGAAGAAAAACAGAGAAGGAAGAAAATGGGCTCTTAATACAGTGTCCAGCTCGTGCACTGAAAGAGTGAGGCAGTATTGGGATATGTTTAATTCCTTCTGTGATCATTAAATCTGCTGTTGATGGCAATAAGGATTTAGCTCTCCATTAAATAGACCTGGAGGGCTTGTGCGTCATTGAAGTCAAGACCTCATGTAGTATCTCTCTATCAATCTATTTATCTATCATCAAAAGTATCAATCTAGTCGAAATGAACTTCCCAAAGTACTAAGGACAGGGAAAAGGCTTCCTCCTTCTGAAAGCATTTTCTCTTACTGTTTGTTGTGCAATAGCTGACCTTGCTGCCTTAATTCCCTAGCTTCTTCCTTGAGGGTTTTTAGTTGCTTAATGTAGCACATGAACTGGAAAACCCTCCTGGTTTTCACTGAGTGATTTCCTCCATGTGCCACATCATGGATGACAGAGAGCCCCATGTCTAAGCTGCCTTCTGAGTCATAAGGATATTCTTTTGTTGTGGTGGTGGTGAGGTTTTGCAGACACCTGCACATATACTAGTGAAGTGACAGCATTTTTTGTTATATTCCTTCCTCCTTTCCTGCCTTCCAGGAAAGCGTCCTTCCCAGGCTTGAATCACCGTAATTTCAATCTACTGTGTATCTACATTTACCACACCCCTCTCTTTTGATGTCCTCTCTGACATAGTCAACAAAGGAGCAAGACTACATTTCCAAGCCTCAGAACCCAAAATTATTGCGAAAGGATTACTCTATAATCAGGCATAGAAATACATTTTTAACTGTAGTTAAAATTTATCAGTAATTACTGAAAGTTTATAACTTAAGCAAAAAAAAAATATCAAAAAATGAAAGGCAAAACAACCCTCTCATCCCTAAAAATTGAAGATAGGGGTTTTAAATTATCTTCAAATATGTTTTTTTAGAATTACTGTATTAATGTACATGTTCCTACCAGTGGTATGTGAACACTGTTGAGACTTCTGCTGGGTGTGCACATGACTGTGAGCTCTTGATGCTGCCAGTAGCATTGTTACTGTGCAAACACTGAAAATTTGGCTTGCACTTTCCTGTTTTTATACATACATATATATATGTTTGTGTGGGGTGTGTGTGCATATATATATATATATATATATATGCGTAAAAGTACATTGTAGAGTATTAGCCAACAAAGGACATAGCAAAAACATAATATACATATTTGGCTCCAAACGTTTTGAACCTATCTATGTGAATAAAAATTTGTGTTGATAGTTCTGTAGCAACAAAACTTTTTTGTAGATTTGTCATAAATTTTTCAGCTGGGTACATGACCAATAAACCACCACATCCTGAGGTTTACTATTTTAAATGAAATATTAGTAGCAATTACTCTTTGTTGTGTGTTCATGAGGATGTTTTTAAAACTGTGGTAGTTCAGTGCATGGTATAAATAAAAAATAAATCAAAGTGGAACTACTACCTTAAATGTAGAACCTAGGAATATCTGTCTCAGCTCTGAGCTATTGCTGTGTTCTTTACTTAAGGGCTTGCATTCTTGTCTTTACTACAAAGAAAACAGTGAAACTCCCTCTGAGCACATGGAAACAACTTACTAGAAAACTTATAAATACAGTGGCTAATTTATTTGAGTAAAAATGAATTATTCCCTCTCTAAAAGATTGTAGTAAAAGAATAGAGGGGATCACTCAAGTTTCATTCACCGTTTCCCTGAAGTCATGTGTATAGACTTTTTAAAGATTTATGAATATTTTTTCCAGTTATATTTTACACACTTTATGCGCGTGCCCACGCGTGCGCACACACATGCATGTTTCTTACTTGATCCACTAAACATTTTTCAGTAGAAAGTGGCAGAAGAAATTATATTATTTCAGAAATGGCCCCCTCTTCCCCTTGTTATTAAATACAGTAGCTACAGCGGGTGCCATTTTCACGGAACCACAGAATATCTGAGGTTGGATGGAACTTCTGGAGGGAGGTCATCTGGTCTAACCCCCCCCCTACTCAGGCAAGGTCACTGAGGGCCAGTGGCCCAGGACCATGTCCAGGTGGCTTTTGAATATCTCCACAAGCTCTCAGGGCAAGCTGTACCAGTGACTGGTCATCCTCACAGTAAAAAAAGTGCTGCCTGGTGTTCAGACAGGCCCTCTTGTCTTTCAGCTTGTGCCCTCTTGGAACGGATCTTCTGTTCTTCTTGAAGGGGAAGAGGCTTTTGGTCATTAGTTTCTACTGATTAAATTAAAGTTTTATTTAATTTAATTTAAAAAGTTATGTACTGATAGTCCTTCAAAAGATACGGTGGGATGGAAATCAGATGGGAGAGAGCAGCTAGTGTTTAGGTGGAAGGACAAGAGCAAGTGATCCTAGCTGAAGATGTCCCTGCTCGTTGAAGGACCTTTAAAGGTCCCTTCTGACCCAAACCATCCTATGATTTTATGAAGTGGGGAGACAAATAATGTCAGAAAGCATGGAAACAGAGAGAATAGGGTTTTGGAGAGGGATCACAGTATACCACCCAGCTCTTCAGGTCTCAGCTGGATTGCTAACACTGTCAGCCCGCCTTGAACAGCTTTGGAGTGCCAGTTCCTTTGTGCTCCTCTGAAATATTGTAAAACAGAGGGATTATAACAGAAAAGAACAACTGTATTGAAATTTAAAACCAAGGAAGTACACACCAACAAAGAGACTAAAGCTTGCATTTCCAATTATAGATCTGGTAATTGTATTCCCAGTGAATCTTATTTTGGGGACTTGCAGAAAATGTCTAATGAATTTTATTGAGAAGGAGAACTGTAGACCAAAAAAGTATTAAAATGGGTTTATTAGTAAGATTTCAAAAGTATTTTCAGATGGAATTCATTACAGGGATGTAAGTTATCGAAGTGCAAAATTTTGATATCAAGTAAGCATGAACTTTTTGCTGACTGACTTGATGAACAGTCAAGTCTGGCATGAAAAATGTGATTGTGTCATTAATATAAATTTGATCTGCCTTGCAAACAGCAAAAATCCTTTAACCGCAAAAGTGTTGATAAATGGTGTCACTGCAAAAGTTAAGACATGTTTATTTATAATACACTATATTGTGTGGTTTTCTAAATTACAGATATGGCCAGTGATAACATTATTTAAACTTTGATCTATGATCATTGATAGAGTCATGTGCTGACATTATGCTATACTGTGAGCAAACCTAAAGCACCTGGCCAGTCTTGTCTTTTTTTCCATGGAACCAGCTTTCTCTAATCAGAATAACAGGCTTGAAGTCAGAAATCACAGCTGTTCTTGCGTATGCTTTGCATTTTTAGTCTTCATTTGTTCAAGATCCAGACAAGTATGAGGTAATGTGTCCTAAATCAAAATTTATATCGCTTCTTAGGTTGCTAAAGTTAATCTTTGATTCTTTCTTTGGCTTGTGGTAAGAAAAAAGGAAGGCATTTTTTTCATCTTCAAATGGTGCTAAAGACTACAGCAAAAGTGACCATCTTCCAGTTATTTTGCATATTTGCTGGGAGATTTTTGGCTACTTAAAATGCAAGAATTAACAAATTGTATCATGTTAGTTATAGGCAAGCTTGTCCTTATTTTTTTTAAAGTATGAAGATGTGATGTTCAATAAATTTCAGATTTTGCTGTTGATTTCTGCTCCAGGAGGTTTGCCTTAAAGCTAGTGCTGCTATTTTAAGTCAGAAACAGAGATCTCTTTTTCACCTCAGAACTTGAAACACAGTCACAGCAACAGAAGTTTCTAGGGTTGCCTTTCTTTTTCACCTGAACATTTGCTATTTGCCTATTTAAAGTAGGGGGAAATTTGGCTGAAGGAAATTTTTCAAAGTCTAATCTGATGCCATCTTGTTTAAATGGCCTCCTGGATATAGTAAATGTGCTGTGCACCTCAGCAAGCAGCCTGGTAACAAAGAAATCCTACCTCTACTGTGTGTTTGAACAGCAGGTTATCCAAGACTTCACTTCAGTGGTGGAAGGGATGAAGTTCCT